ACCGTAATTTTCATCCGCGTTTCCCCTGACAGTTTCTCTGAAAAATAAACCGAACCGAGGTTGATACCTGATAACTATGCTGCCTTTGGGCCTTCTATGTCTGTACTTCACTATAAAATCCCGTGGCTCCAAATATCTCAGCACTTAGACTGCAATATACAAGGCAAAGGCTCAGGAAGTGGGATAAAGGACAAGTTACTGTTGTCTACAGTGGCCGGGAGAACCTCCACCAAAAGATTGATTGATTATCTACTGTTTTTGACAGATGACGCGTGAATCGTGTCTTGTGTCATTGTCAAACTTGTTCAGTTTGGTCTATAATTTAACCATGAATCGACTTACGAACGAACAACGCTTGCAAATTATTGAATTTTACTATCAAAATTCATGCTCGGTTAAGAGAGTGCATCGAGCACTGCTCCCAATTTATGGGCAATTTGGTCGGCCTACAGAGGGAGCTATTCGGAAGCTTGTGACTAAATTTCGAACCCAGTTTACATTATTGGACATTAAACCACCAACACGCAGACGTAGAGTGAGGACTGAAGAAAATATTGCGGCTGTATCCGTCAGTGTTACTGATGACCGTGAAATGTCGATTCACCGCCGTTCGCAGCACTTGGGCCTCTGTTACTCCACTACGTGGAAAATTTTGCGACAGGATTTGGGTGTAATACCTTATAAGATACAGCTGGTGCAAGAATTGAAGCCACACGACCTCCCACAACGTTTCCAATGTGGTGAATGGGCGCTGGCAAAGTTGGAGGAAGATCCACATTTTTATCGAAAAATTGTGTTTAGCGACGAAGCTCATTTCTGGTTAAATGGGTACGTTAACAAGCAAAATTGCCGCATCTGGAGTGAGGACCAGCCAGAAGCATTGCAAGAGCTACCAATGCATCCCGAAAAAATCACTGTTTGGTGTGGATTATGGGTCGGTGGCATCATCGGGCCGTACTTCTTCAAAGACGACAATGGCCGGAACGTAACTGTGAATGGCGAGCGCTACCGTGCGATGATAACAAACTTTTTTTTTGCCCAAAATGGAAGAGCTGGACTTGGCTGACATGTGGTTTCAACAAGACGGTGCCACATGCCACACCGCACACGAAACAATGGCCCTATTGAGAGGCGAGTTCGGTGAACAGTTTATCTCACGTTTGGGGCCCGTCAATTGGCCGCCTAGATCGTGTGATTTAACGCCGTTGGACTATTTCTTGTGGGGCCATGTTAAGGCTAATGTCTACAGGAATAAACCAGCAACGATTGACGCACTGGAAGCCAATATTGAAGCATTTATTCGTGAGATACCGGCCGATATGTTGGAGAGAGTGTGTCAAAATTGGACCTCGCGCATGGGACATCTAAAGCGGAGCCGCGGCCAACATTTACATGAAATAATCTTTAAACATTAAATTATATCGACCGTTCTATCGACTCAAATAAAGATTCAATCGTTTTTTCAAATTTTTGTTTTTTTTTTTGAAAATCAAATCTTATACCTCTTAAAAAATCACCCGTTATATGCCTTTTCCCTCTCTCTCTTTGTCTCTCTCACTCTTTATACCTCTTTCTTTATCTCTCTTTCTCTTTCTCGTCTCACTGCCAGACAGATATCAAATAAAGATTTTAGAATTTAACTACAGTTTTGGCTTTTGACGAAAAACATTTATGGTTTTGAAAATTGGTACAGCGGCGGCGGCGGCGAAAAAAGCCAAAAACGAGAAAAATATAAATCGATACAACTTAGTTTCTTGAGATTTAGAGGATGCTGATCATTTAAAAAAATAGGTGTATAAAATGGGGGGGAGTTGTTAGGGAGTGTAGAGGGTATGTCCCATTTTTTTATGTTAACGCTCCCAACCTCAGTAATTCTAGGCACCTATTACACACATGTTTCACACATCGTAGATTTTCCCGTAAATTTCCTTGAAACTTAAAACAATAGAGAAATGCGTTCGATACGCATTCCTGCTTCTGCTGTATGGGATCACCAGCGAGCGATCTTAGTAAGTGATCTTGTCATACTTACGCGTCTAACGCGTTGTGCGGACGGATATCGGGAAGATGCAACGTAGTGGTAGGGAATGGAAAGAATGTCTATGGACTAATTGCGCTTGCTTGGCTGACTTGATCCGTTTAATTTCTGTATTATCCATGTTCGTGACTAACATTTTTCTCAAAGGGTCTAGCTTGTGCAGAACATAATCCTTAATGAACTGGTGATGGCGTTGCTTTTTTTAACGCAGTCCAACCAAAATGTTCTGCTATCCCAACATTGCATTTGGGACACTGTTGTGGTCGTACAATTTTTCAATGAGGGAGTGGAGTTTCTACTGATGTACGGGATAGTTTCCGGGAGAATGCAGACAAGCGAAAAAACAAGATCATTATCTATGTGTAGATAGAGGGACGTCGGTCTAGGCCGTTAAGAGGTTTCGCGTAATTCGGTCGGCCGCCGCCTGGATCCCGTGGAATGCTTTGTAGATGCTCATGTTGGATGACACTAGACCTAATGGCTGATGCATGGTCTGCTAGATAAGAGCTGATTACCCCGAATGCGTTACATCTCCTGTTCTCTTTCATCCTGGCCTGGTCTGCGCAGTAAAGTCGACTTGAATAGTTTCCTTTGTTAGAAAGTATTTTGTGCTATCTGATTTGCAGTGAAATCAGCTGTGTTTATGATAAAGTAGTTATTGATAATGTATCATTGTAGCAATGCTCGTAATTAGATTTCATGAGCTGAGTTTCATCTCTAATGTAATTTTGTTTGATTTTATGATAGTTGCTCATTATGTAATTACTTTTTCTTCTATGATATTCTTATATATATATATATATATATATTTATATATATATATATAAAACTGAATGTGCGAAATGAATAAATAAAGGAGCTAAGTTAATGTGCAAAATATGATCGGTAACATATCTCAAATGTCAGTAAATTAAGGATACAGATGGGTAATGGGCTCTACCTAGGCATAATTGCATTTGTAACAGCTGAAATAGATTTTTAATATCCATTTTTCAAGGATGATGCGGTTTACTCGTATTCTCGTTTTCTCTGCTCGTGTTTGGGAACAAACTTATATTGAAATAAATTCATTTAAATCCTCTCTATTTCCGCCAAAAGAACATACGTTTTTTTTATACCAATAGACCATGACATTTTGTGTGAGAATTTTAATGCGTCTAGTTCACAGGAAAAGGGAAAAATACGATTATATCATTCTATCGAAACAACATTTTGGAAAATTCATCGTTGTGATTTTTTTCATTGCCAGTTCATTTATGTTTTTACTTAATCGTAAATACTGTTGAATTGAGTCACGCCTTGCCCTGGACTGAGCAGACCTCTTTTAGAATGTGCCTATAAATTGACCTCCCCTCTTAAATCTTTTGTATGACCTTTTAGAAAAAAGGTTATATACAAAAGTTGTACGGTCCAATATAAACTTTTTCAGACAGTGAGTGATATGCATAAAGGTGAGTGGGTTCTCAGAAGTAGCGACTCCATATTGTAGCGAGTAACTACTCCTGTTAGGGAGAGCCGACTCGGTTTTGATATGCATAAAATATTTATCGAGAAACGGAGAGGCCACTCAAGTGCTAATGAAATACTTGAGTAGGCACTCTGGTTTTCGAGTTCCGACTTGTATTTTGTTGTCTCGCCGAATTGGCAATTTCTCTATTGCGAGCAGTTACTACTGTATACCGGTAAACGTTTGTGTCGGTGGTGTTTAGGTCGATAATTATTTGTTCATTTACATAATGTCAACCTATTCTAAAGACCATTCATCTGAAAATCAAACAGTATTTGTTGATATAATTAAACAGTATCCTGTTTTGTTGGAAAAATCTAACATCCCGGAAATCAAAAATAAACGACGTAAGGCGGTTGAAGAAATAAAAGAAAAGGTAGAAGCCGAATTAGGAGTTAAATATAATGAAGGGCAGATTTGGAAGAAGATTCAAAACATAAAAACCAGATTAAAAGCAAAGAAAGACAGAAATCATACCGGAAACAAACCAATAAAATTGAAAGGATGGGAACAAGAACTGTTCAATTTTCTACAAGGAGAATCAAATCCTAGTATTGCTCGATTACAATGTTAGTTGTATTTTTTTGTTTTTCCATACAGTAGGTATAAGATGTGATTGAGTATAATATATATACATGTCAATAAATATAAATAGCATATATTTTAAATTTTAGGTGCTGTTGTGGCAGGTTGCCACAAAAAAAGCGTTGATTATACTCCAACAGCCCGTGCTGAAGAATAAACAATCACCGAAGAAGCATCTGGAAGTGCAGGACTAGTACTGAAAGCTACCACAATGAAAGCCGGACCCAGTAAGGAGCCTTCTAAAAAAAAGGAAAACGAGGATTAGTGGAAACCGATGAAACACGAGATTTATCAATAACAAAGCTCCAACGTCTCGTTTTACTTGAACAACTACAAGTGTTTCGGCTAGCTAAGGAACTGCTACTTCACAAGAAAAATATTAATGAATCTGATCCAAATTTATCAACTTTAAATGAAAGTGCAGAAACTGGAAATCCAATTGTCATGAGCCTATTTCCAGGACAGAACTGACAGAAATACTTCATGTTTCATAAATGTAATTTTTTATTAATTTTAAGGACTTTCTCTTAACTTACCATTTTAAAAGTGTTATTAATTTTGTTATGAGTAATTAAACATCGTTCTTCAACGTATATATACATAATTTTTAAATTTGGATCATGCTAGATACTTACTTAGACCCGAAAGCCATGAATAATTCTTGACATTGCATCTCTTCTAAATTGACCTCACTGACGTATCACTCCATCTGCATAGTCGGCAGTATGTTGGTTATGGATTTCTTCTTGTTCGCCATCTCCCGGTATATCAACAGCAAAATCTTCATCATTAAGGTGCTTAGCCACATTATGCAAGATAAAACAACTCATGACAAGGGAGGGCACTTTTTCTGTATCGACGCATATTTTGTTATGTAGAATGGGAAAACGCTGTTTTAGTTGAACAAAACATCTCTCTATTATAACTCGCTATCGTAAATAGCCGATTGTATGATCTTTGTTCTGCTGTTTCTGCAATCCTAAAAGGAGTCATGAGCCAAGACGCTATACCATACCCAGAGTCTCCCAACAAAACAGCACTAGCCCTATTCCATTTCATAACGTTGTATATATCAGAATTCTCCCATATCTGAGAGTCGTGTACAGATCCTGGCCAAGAAACATCCAAACTTGTGAATTCTTCGTTTGAATTGCACGTTGCTTGTTCATTTATACTATCAAAGTTCTTTCTGTTCACATCTTCGTCTGCATGAATAAACGGCTTCAGAATAGGTATATGGGTGCAGCCGATAGCACCAATAGCTGAAGGAAAATTGAACTTTTCTTGCCACTTATTCTTAGCATTGTGTAGATCTTCACATGAGGTTGGGAATCTAATCCAAATATTCGAGTTCTGCACAATGCGTGTTATAACGTTGGTAACGGTTCGGGATACCGTAGATTGATGGACACCAATATCTTCTCCTATGCCAATTTGAAATCCTTGATCACTCACATATCGTAAAAAAACCCTCATTCTTTCTATATTGCTCAAAGTACCGTCCCTATATTCTTCTGTCTCTCCAAGAAAATAAGCATTTAACTTACTTATTTTAACTTTACTAAACCGATATACGGCCCGATAGTCTACTTCCCTGGATTCCCTACGATCTTTAAACACCTTCGTAGGCTGATAGATAGGCATAAATTCGGCCATTTCGTGAAGACATCAACTCCTTATAAAGCTGAGTCTACTACTAAGGTATCTCGCATTTCTTTAAGTATGTACTCAGCGGTCGGAGTGGACGCTCGCTTTTATGCATATAAAAATTAAAGTCGGCACTCAAGGAGCGAGTACAGCCTCACGGAAAGAGTAGAAACTTATAAGTGTGAGCTTCTACTTACATTTTTATGCATATCAAATGGAGTGGCTAATTTAAAAATGCGAGTCAAAAGTAGCCACTCGCCTTTATGCATATCACCCAATGTCTTTTTTATATTCAGAGTGTCTCAGAAGAGTGCCATAGAATAAACTTGTATTTTTATGAATTGTACATCCTATATATTTTTAATGAAAATAAGTTGTTTTTTACTGATTCTAAATATATATAGTTTATTATCTTGCATCTCTAGGTGCAAACTTGTTTGAACTCGGACAAACGTGAATAAATAACACGCTAAAATTTCAGTATGATAAACCCTATATATTTGGAATAAAAAAGCGACTACCTTTTTCTTAAAATTATATTTAAAAATATACAACTTCATTCTATAGCACTTTTCTGAAACACCCGGTATATAAAAAAGACATTGCACGTGAAAGGTATATTAGATCCTACATTTTTGTATAATTTTTTTTATTTCAAACGGTCAAGAAGGGTCAATGTATACTGGGACACCCCCGTTCATACATACATTCACCTAAATTTGAAAATGCATGTTACAATCGAGGCAGTCAAATGTGTCATGACTTGACATCAAGGAGATATCCTGCCGGTAATTCGCTCTTACAGTGATTGACTTGAACGCTTCCGTAGTGTTACGGTAGTTTTGAAAAGAATAAGCATACATACCAGCACAAGTACTTATGTTGAGTCATAATAGCATATTCCTAAGTTCTGGGACTCATAGAAACTTGGAGAGACTTGGAAAGACGTAATAAAATTGCTGCTAGAAATTGTTCGTGGTTCTATTGTTTTATTCCTTAACACTAGAACAGTTCCGCGGGTCTTTCTCATGATTCAGGAAGAAACGTGCGTAAGTCTCGACGTCGTCGATATAAAGACGAACTTTGTATTGAAAAACGTAGGAACATATTATTTTTCAGACAATGGACGCATTCATAAATTCATTTAATAGGTGATAGAACACTTTCTGCTGGATAATCTACTCCCTCGTGTTGAAGAATTGATCCTCAGGTTACATTGATCAAATTTACCAGTTCTGTAATGGTATTTACGAGGATATTTGCAGAAGTGTCTATATATTCTAGTTCGTACGTCCGCAGTGTTTTCCAATATACATATAGGTGTAGTTCACATATAAACTTTGTTTAGTAATGAAATTGCAAGGCAATCTCCCGTGCAGTTTTCTCTCAGCAAATCCAATCTCCGAGGTAGACACCGGAATTGCATATTAATTCGCTCTAATCTCGGAAATGAATACGCCAACTTCCTCAGTAGATACACGGGTTGATTGTTTGAGTTTCCTCTTTTAATTACTTCTTACGAAGTAATCCGACAGCAGTTGCAGCATTTCAGGCATAGTCGGGTTCAATTAGTCGAAGATTATTTCCAGTATTTGATTTTCCTGTCAGAAAATGTTTTCGCATTGAAAACTTCCTTTCAAATCGAAGCACCATAAAAAGGTTTGAATTTGCACTTGATAACACTCATAGAGAGTTGGCAAACAATTTTTTGATGTTTTGTGATGCCTATTTATCTTCTTCTCGATGAAGATGATTCCATGTGCATCCCAGAAAACTGTAGCCATAACCTTGCCAGCCGATTTTACCGTCTTCGCTTTCTTCGGGGCCCGTTCGCATTCAAAAACCTACTGTTTTGATATCTCCTTTAACTTTGAGTTGTAGTAGCATATTCATGTTTTATCCACAGTGATATATCGATGGAGAAGCTGATCAGAGTTGCATCGAAAAAGCTCCAAAACGGTTTCTGAGTTGACCACGCGATTGCGTTTATACTACTGAGAGCAATGCAATTTTCCATGCAAGGTTGACAACGCTATACTTTGTAATATCACATCACTTCAACTGGGCGTCCTGAACGATGTCTTTTTTACGGAAGTGCCGCCACGCTTAAATTCATTTACCCAGTTATAAATAGTTGCAAATGCAGGACTACATGTTCCATTAACTTCATGCAAGTCGACTTTTATCTCTTCAAGCCTTTCAAATACAAGTATTGAATCATCGCCCGAAACTCACTTGTTTTCATTCATTGGAATAAAGAAAATATTTGCATAGTCAATAAACTAAACTATTATACTAAAAACTTGCGATGTAACTATCGCCATCTCTTGGATTTTCTGAGGACTTGTTGACCGGCCCTCGTACGATTTTGCAATTTTTTGGGATGCGTCTAAATATATTGAAAAACTCATATTTCTCGTTTCCACCATATTTCAAGATTTCGATCATTTTATCTGATCAATCTTTTCATTTGTAACCTTTTTGGAATTACATAGCAATAATGATTCTCAAGGTATATTTCAGTATTAAGGTGCACGCCCACGTTTAATTCATAGAAATGACAGATGTCACGGTTCCCTTCGCGTCTCGTCGCCTCAAATGTTTGTTGTACTTTTTCTGAGCGTAAATTACTTATCATATAGATAATGTTTTTAGTGGTGAAGTATTTCGATTTTCGAAGGCCTAAATGTGCTACAGAAAATATTGAATGGAATTTATATACGTCAAAGAACACGAGCGTGGGAACCACACGTTTAGTTCTACAGCTCTTACATCTAAAAACAGTGGTACAACTGTCTATGTTGATTCTATAAATTAACATCTTATATGTAGCGGAATACTTACGAATGGAACCATTGCCGTCGGTCATACTTGTGGAGTATTCCATTGAGTTGACCAATAGCAATTGCAGCAAATGTAATAAATCGCAGATAATGAATCTATCACCGATAGTTCTGATGAACTGTATGATCATTCTTGAACTTAAAGATAGAATTAAGGACTCTTTTCTTGAGGTTAAATGAAGAAAACGTGAAGGGACTTTAGTGAGGCTACACTGAAGACTCCAATGCCAGAGCGAGTCCTTTGAACTAAATTGAGATACGATGACATTATACATAATTTAAACCTTGCGTTGTCCAATTGAAGACACAAAGCTACTTCCTTACAAGGTAGACAGTATTAACCGAGAGTATATCCTTATCCACTAAGGTGTTCAATAACACAGACTTCATTCAATTGATCTATAAATAGTTTTCACATTTCCATTGAAGAAATTGTTAATAGGACTTATTGACCTTTAAGGCCATAATACTCGTAGTACACGAAAACGTATTAGAACGTAAACCTTTCCATTGTCGGTGCTAGAGTGGGTCTCCTAGTTAAAATGCTATGAAATAAGATGGTCTTAACCCGACTTTGAAGGTGAGGTTTAAGGTTCAATCCAAGGTCACCATTATATCCTTGTCATAATATACATTCGGGTATAGGATTTGTCCATTATTTCGATTGCCGAAGTCAAAAATGGAGCTTTCCAAATAACAGAACAAAGGTTGCCCTTGAAATAGCCTTGAAAGGTCAAATCCGATGTCACCTTTAAACTCCTTGTTTGGTGTTAGTTAACGTCCAGCCTCGATCTTTTTGAAAAATACTTGGAAAGATGCAGTACCATTTTGTTACTTTTGTATAGTTGAAAACTCCACATAGTCCAGGTAGTATCTTCTTATCTGCTGAGAAAAAGATTTTAATTCGGATGTTTTACATGATCTCATTCAGCAAATACGCGTGTTGCCAAACCCAAAGTTGCGTAAAACTTTATTGAAATAATGTCCTAAAATGAATTCCAAAAATTGTTTTTTTCGTTCCAGTCACTGTTTCTAGGTTTTTTAGGCCATTCTAACACAATTTAGTGTCCTAGCAACATGCAGATTCGTTAAAAGGGGTCCTTTTAAATAAAATTCTTGTCTGCAACTAAACTCCCTGCATCATCGTCCGATCCAAACTCCTACGACAATGCGCTGCTCCGGGGTCTGTGGGGCAATTACTCGGCTACTTTGTGCCCCAGCAACCTTATATTTTAGCAATTGATGGCGCTCGAGTGGCATCGCCTCCGTTGAGACTATGCTAATGTCGTCCACTTTCATCGGAAAATACGGCCGGCGATCGCTACAGAACAGACTGCAAACTCCCGAGCAACTTGATTTCACGCTGGTGTACTCAGAATTGTGTTTTGTCAAGATATTTCGCCGGCGAGGAGTCTGCTGGGATCCCAACGCTACTCTCTGAAGTGGATTGAGCAACAGAGTTACGAAGTGGAGCCGGGTTGTCAGCAATACCGGAGAAAAAAGAGTGCCTTTAAGCAGAACAATAAGACTCTCTTCAAGGTGGAGTTTTAAATATGCTATTGCATCTCAGTGGCAAACATGTAGAGTAATGTAACTTCTATCCAATCGCTGTCTCGCTGACTTGCCCATGTTTCGTCCATCAATATTTGGCCTTGTCCTCTTTTAGATTCCTCACCATATTTACCAATCTCAGTAGTTTTTTCAGGGAATTCATAAATTCTGACACATTATTTCACTAACCTGCATTCGATTTAGATTGTTTTGAAATGTATATTGATTCGTCAAAAGTGGTCTATTTGATTCTTTCTTATAACCTTTTTATAAAAGCATTAATCAGAATGAATTTGTTTGAACAATATGTCATACCATCGGGAAATTAGGTATGAATGATAACATATCTTAAATGTTGGGCACATTGTGCTTCTCGTACTGTTTTCCATAGCATTTTCATTAGCTTTCCGCGAGATTTGGTGTGTAATTTCTCCGAGTTCTATACGAATATTGTAGTAAACAATGTTTCTTGGTCAATTCTTATGCAATGTTTATCCAAATATCGACAAAGGGAAAGACACGCACGCTTAAATCCGGTGAACATGAAGCGTATAATTTAGTTTTATCTCGTTGAAGCGTCACGTTTAAGTAACATTTCACAGCTACCAAAAAATC